GATCTCTCCATATGATTTGAGACCATTGAGAATCTATCCGTCATAGCTTTGATATCTTCATTTGGTTTCATCCTGAAATTTTCATAGCTATGCGTTAGAATACTAAGTTTAGATTTTTTTACCTCATCGGTACCTTCATGAGTGACTTGAAGTTTGTTCCATATTTCTTTGGCTGTTGTACAAGATGAAACTCTTCCGTATTCATCTGGTCCAAGAGCACAAAAAATGATATGGATGACTTTGGAGTTGAGCTGGAACATTCTCGTCTCTCCTTCACTCCACAATCTTGGATGAGTGAGAGGCTTGATGTATCCTTCTTCTATTGCATTCCATGCTCCCATGTCACTTGCTTGAATGAAGTACATCATCCTATTCTTCCAATAGGCATAGTTAGCTCCATTGAAGAAAGGAGGCTTGTTGACGGGCATCGAATCGAGTCCGGAGTCGAAATTTGAAGCATAGGTCATTGATGACTTGATAATCGATGTAACTCTTCCCGAATCGACTCAAGAGGCGATTAAACCTTCAAATGAGTGAGGCTCTGATACCAATTGTTGAGTTAATCGATTGACAGAATCGGCCAAGAGGGGGGTGAATTGGTAATTAAAATTTTGGTGGAAGCTTTTGCAAAAAATTGAAAGAAATTGCACAGCGATTTAGAGTGGTTCGACTTTCTCAACCAAAGTCTACGTCCACTACCTTAGCTATCCACACTAAGGATTTCCCATAAATTCACTAATTTGTCTTTCTTTTGAGGACAAAGAGTAAACTTACAAACCCTCAAGAATTATACCCCAAATTCTTGAGAACACTCTCTCCCAAAGAGAACAATACAAATTTGCAAACTTACAAGGAAATCCTCACAAGGTAGATTGTTTGCACAATTCTAGAACAAAGAAAAGAACACTCAAGAATGAATACAATTGAGCACAATAAGTGTCCTTGAAAGCAAAATGAATATTGAATGAAAAATAGGCTTGAAATGATCAAACTTGAGGTTTGATGCTTTCTCTTTGATTCTCTCTTGATTCTAGTTGCTTGATGTTTCTTGTTGTTGATCAATGGCTTCTAAGCTTGCTTAAATACACCTTGAATCACTTTTGAACGTTGGGGATAATTAATGGAGTCAATATATCCGTTTAAGTTTGAAAACAATTAATTAAAACAGTTAGGAGCGTCAGTGCATCGATGCATACCCATGGTGCATCGGTACATCAGCTTAAAATTCAAATATTTTGACTGTTGGATCCTTAGTGCATCGATGCATCAAGTGCATTCGATGTTTCAAAATAGACATAGTGCATCGATGCATGGCTGGTGCATCGATGCATCAAATGCATTCAATGTTTTCATAAAATCCTCAGTGCATCGGTGCATGGTATGTGCATCGATGTATGAAATGCATTCGATGTTCAATTTAATTCATGGTGCATCGATGCATGGATTGGTGCATCGGTGCATCACTCTGAAAAATTGATTTTAGGCTTGATTTTGGTTCAAAATACTTTGTGAAAATTGTTTCAAAAATATATTAAGTATAAAACACAATTTTACACATTTAGTAAGATTTGAAATTGATCTTAAAAGACTTGGAGTAATAATTTGATATTCAATTAATTAAATCGAATATACTTAGAAAATCATTTGTAAAATCTTAAAATTCATTTAAATTTAATTTGTTATATCGAAACACAAAATGTTTTCAACATTGGTTTTATTGCCATTTTATAAAATTTTCCCTTAAGTTTTAGAGGCACCTTCTTGTCACACAAAACTCCAGTAGCAGTCCTCCACTTTAGCCATCCCACCTTTATATGATGTGTAACGTCATCATCTACACCCCCATCTTTATATATCATAGACCCTAAGTACTTGAAACAATCATTTGAGGGGAGAACGTGTCCTTCTATGCATACTTCTACATCTTCATCGTTTTGGTTCTCACTGAAGTTTGAACATAAATACTATGTCTTTTCAATGTTGATCCTTAGACCTTTTTCTTCCAAAGCAATCTTCCAGGTAGTCAGTCTACTATTAGGCTCATTTTTTATTTCAGCAACTAGGACAATGTCGTCAGCGAAAAGCATACACCATGGAACACCGTCTGGTGTCGCACAATAGACGTCGTCCATAATCAAGGCAAAGATGTCATTAATGCTACCTAGATCCTTTTTCCTATTTTCCCTGGATTTTGCAAGCCTGAAGATGCCGTTTTGTCATTCTTTGGTGTCTAATCTCTTGTACATTTCATTATATGCCTTATCCTGTGCTTTAGCCATTGTTTTCTTGACTTCCCGCTTTGCCTCCTTGTATATTTGTTTAGCTCTCGATCTTTCTTCTTCGTCATTGTATTGTAGAAACTCCTTGAAGCAAGTTTGCTTTGTCTTCACCTTAGTTTGGACTTCATCGTTCCACCACTACGATTCTTTATGTTCCTTGACCTTCTCTGACGACAACACAAGGGTGTTTTTTCCCACCTCTCTGAGGGTATTTACCATATTTTTCCATAACATATCTGAATTATTTGAGTTTGTAGTTCCAAAACCCGTATTAGACAAAACCTTACTCCTAAAGTCATCAGCTGTCGCTCCATGTAAGTTATTCCAAAGGATCCTAGGTTTACCAAGTTTAGCCCTCCTATGAGTGCTCCGTCTGTGGCATACGCAGAACACCAAAACCAACAATCTGTGTTGTGATGCACATGCCTCTTCTAGGAACACCTTACAGTCAATGCAAGCCCATCGATCCCGATTTCAAACCAGGATGTAGTCGATTTGGGTACAATGTCCCCCGCTATGGAACATAATCAAGTTCACATCTCTCTTGTTAAAGAAAGAGAAGGATTTAGTGACCACCATATCGTGTGAAGTAGCAAATTCAAGCAACGCACGCCCCTTCTCGTTCCTACTACCAAAACCAAAACCCCTATGAACACCGTCATACCCGTCGGTTGCACTACCTATATGGCCATTGAAGTCTCCCCCTATGAAAACTCTTTGGTCCTCCAGAATGCTCCTAAGTACATCATCTAACTGATCCCAGAAGCAACGTTTCTCCCCCTTCCCCTAGGCCAACGTGTGGGGCGTACACTGAAAGGACATTCACCACTTCCTCTTCTATAATAACCTTAATCATCATGATCCTATCTCGTATCTACAAACTTCAACTACATTTTCCTTAAGCCTAGAGGATACCAAGATACCCATCCCATTTCTAGCGTTATCTACACCTAAATATCACAACTTGTACCCATTACACTCTCTGGCGCGAGCCCCTTTCCACCTAGTCTCCTGAATACATGCAAAATCTATTTTTCTATTACTAAGTACGTCGGTAAGCTCCAGCAGCCTAGCATTTAATGTGCCTATATTCAACGAACAAACTCTAAAACTAGTCTCCTTGACACCACTCTGTCTAGCCCTCCCCCTATACGCCCTATGGGATCTAAAAGGACATGACCTCAAGTAATCATCTATAGCCGAAGCTATGAGGAACTATGAAAAAGGAATCCAAAGAAGACAGAAGATGCACACTCACAGTAATCGATGCTCAAGTAAGGTGTCTCTTTCAATCCTTTAAAACCAAATTGAAAAAAACACATAGAATATGGGAGCTCTTTTTTCCTTCCCACTTCCTTCATTGTTTCTTAGCTACTAAACAGATAACAATGCAACCAAACCCAAAACATAATTACGCCAAAATTTAAAAAATAAAATAAAAACCCATTTTTCCAGTAAAATCACTTACAAAGAACAAAACCACTATGAAATAGTGGCCAATCGACGACGAAACAACATTTAATACCATGCAAACCCTATGATGAAAATCACGATCCCACAGAATTCGAGGATCAATCAACGTCAAGTACAAAGACATATCACTAGGAGTATGACAGAGACTACGTAGACAGCGATAATCGTGGTTGAAAAAGACGGCGACGGCAAGTTAAGGATAGAATTTGGGGATTTTAGGGATTTTGAGTTTTTTATAATTTAAGAAAAGTTAGTATTTTTTATAAATATAATAATATTTTAAAAAAATAAATTTTAAAATACCGAATTGTGACACGTGTCGTTTAACGAAAGAAATTAATGTCATTGACGGTCCGAACACCTAAAATGGTAATAGTTGTAGACACCAAAATAAGTCAAAAAATACTTTAAACACTTATTAATGAAAAACGATATAATTTATACATTAATTTTATATTTAAGCCTTCATTTTATAGTAAAAAAGGAACTTGTCTTCACGTTAAGGGGGAAGATGAACACGTGAGATTGTTTCCAAAATATTTTTATATTATTTTTATTTTCAAATATAAGTTTCCGTATTTATTTAAAAAAAATAAGAAAATATAAATTTTTAATAATACTGTTTAATTATAAATGTGCTTATAATAAATAAAATAAAATAAAATAAATTTTTATATTTATGTAAATTTGAACTAAGATGAAAGATGTATATTTAATTTTTTTATTAAAATCAAATTATCGAAAGATTCGATCAGTTAAAATCTGATCTTAAAAAAAGAATTTTTAGTAAAAAAATATCAGAAGATATAAAAATATTTTAGTATATAGATTTTAAATTTAAATCAGTTCGTTAGGTTAAAAATCATTTTAAAATGTCCTTTATTCCTTGGTTTTCTTTCTCTACCCCCCCCCCCCACAACACACAATAAATCTTTGGCTGTTTATTATTCATACGTTTGTAAAATCATTGATGAAATGTTGTATGGTGGTATTAATTGTTCAAGGATCCTCGCAAGTTAAGAAATAAGTAATTTGATCCTTTTCATTGTGTTTGATATAATTTCTAAATGTGATATCGCCAGCCCGTATCTTAACTGTATTTTTATGGACTTTTGCTTACAAATTTTGATCCATGCTGTGTATAACATTTTTAAATTATCTTATCAAATTATATTATTAATTTTTAATCATTTTTCTTAATTTCCTACCATACAATGATTTTCACTTCGTCAGCCAAATTACCACGTCTCGTCAAGTTCTTCATTTCTCTAAAGCAGCATTAAGAATCCACTACAAAAAGATCATATGAGATGATTTGGAAAAAATCCATCAAAAATACTAATACATGGGAACTGTCCCACATCAAACACTTACAATGAAAGTTCTGAATTTCAGAATAACTTCTCTTTGACATCAACAATGGTTCCAGATACCCAAAAATAGAAACTATCAGAATAAAGCCTACGAAGATGAGTTTTCCCCCTACACCTTAGTGATCACCAGGCATGCTCTTAATGATATCGGAGTCACCTGAAAAACACAGATGATATTTACCACAATCGGAACTTTAGACTGATGCAAAGTAGGGAAATTCAAAATGTTACAAGCATTGTTATATATACCCGGGTCGACAATGCTAAGGCAGCACACTCGGAAATATTTGCCACAAGCAGTGCCTAAGTCTACGTTGTCTGCAACAACAAAAAAGAGCACATACGTTTACTCATGTTGTTGAATACTCTTTAGAATTTGAAACATCAAAGTCATCACTTCATCACCCATTGGTTCACCAAGCAGGCAGCATTACACAAGAAACGTGAGATTGATGAATAATGTATTTAAGATATTAGCGTCGCTCCCTTCATTAAAGGGCTTTGGCATGAAGAATTTTTGCTAGTTGCTCATCTTAAAATTATCACAAATATCTTCAAATGCAGGACTTATGAGTATAACTAAAGAACGGAATGCGACACGGTGAACGAGCGTAAGTTATTCAATACTAGGATGTGCTTGTCGAATATTGTTGTACTGATGCCGGAGCAAGATATAGCTGAACTAATTAGCTAAACTTATTGATAATCTGCTTTGTTTCACTCCCATATACAAGTATTCAAATCATGACACAAATACGTATTCAAGTATGTAGCAAGCGCGAGATAGGTTAAGGAACATACTTCCATTGTAGTGGTGAACTCCAACCTTGCACAACATTGCATAATACTCGATCTCCGACTTTCTAAGAGGAGGGCAATTGTTGGCAATGATAATCAACTTACCTATAAAGCATTAAAATTTATATATGAATATCCATCTTCCAACTCTAAATCGGTCAACAACAGAAATGCAGCAATACAATAATGAAAATAATCTGACAAAACCTCACATGCCATCCATATTATACACTAATTTAACCAAGATGAAATCCATTCAACTTCAATTCACCATAAAAAAATACAACCCCCCAATCATTTGGAGTTATCCAATACTGTCAATCAGATAGCTCTATATTTAGAAACCGTAAATCACTGTGCAGAGTTGTTCAATACCTTTGGAGTTTCTGAGAGATTTGAGGACGGTTTTGTAACCCAAAGTGTATTTTCCACTCTTCATAACGAGAGCCAATCTGTTGTTGATACTCTCATGAGTCTTCTTCTGCATTTCATCAAACACAGCAATATATCTACTCGTTAGCATGTTTTAAAAAAATTACTCATAAGAGTAGAAAATTAAAACGAAACAAAATAGGGATGGGATTTTACGGTCTTCTTGGTGGCAACCATTTTCGATGACGGAAGAGCTTAGTTGAGATTTTTGTGTTGGGGGGGGGGGGGTGAATGCGGCAGCTACAAATGGTTCACCACAACATTGTAAGAAACCCTAAAACCTAAACAAATATAGCGATACCTGAGTTAAGGTTTTAGGGTTGGGCCAACCCAAAGCTACCTTTTATGGCCCAAAATAAATTTCAATTAAAATATATAATTATTTATAAAAATTTACAACGTATAATTTTATTGTAATATTTTTGAAAATATAAATCTATTTTTTCCAATTTGTTGTACTTTCAATTTGATTTTATCGTGAAAATTAAAATTAAAATCATAGACAATTAATTATGATATTATCAATAAAAAAGAATGAAATTAAATATATAATATGTTTTTTTTTGGATAAGTAATTTATATTTCATCCAAAAGAAATGCAACTTAGCTGCTATAAAAACAAGGCAAGCTACAACACTAGATCAGACCCCAGTTTATGAACAAGTGCCTATTAGCATCATTAATCCAATGTATGCAATTTCTATACAATTTGTTTTTTTACAGCCTCTTTTATCCTATTACAATTGTATCAGCAGAACGAGTTAATCCCCTGAAATTCCTGTGATTACGCTCCTCCCAAATGTAATACATGAAACCAGTCCAAGCGAGCTTAAGAACCTACACTCGGAGAGATTTACCCTTCAAGTTCACAATCAACCAGTTAAGACGTTCATCCCAGCTTTGCAAATCGTAACGAATCCCACAAGAAGCTAAAACTGCTTCCCATACTTCCTTAGCAAAGGAACAATCTGTAAAGAGGTGGTCACAGGATTCCAATCCAGAACCACACACAACACATCCATTTTCCATTATCAAACCGAACCAACCTATCTTTAGTAGGCAACTTGTCAATGATGACCATCCACGAAATAAAGGAGAATTTAGGTATATGAGCAGGAAACCAAATGATTCTGTGCCAGTTTACCTTCTCCCTTATGATTCTAATGTTGTCCCATATCCATTTTCCTTTAATTTGGCACCAGATAGCACCAGGAGGAAACAATCTCCTAGCCTCTTCTCAAAGCCTCAACATCTTCTTCATAATCCAACTGAAGTGGCTTTTACAATCAACATCCCAAAAACTCACAGTTTTTAAACAGTACTCTTGTATCCATGCAATCCAAAGAGAACCATCATTAGCCATAATATTTTTTATAAGCAACAAGCATCAGTCTTTATTCCATAGGGTAAGGTCCCTAAGTCACAGGCCACCCTCTGATTTCAGTGAGCAAATATGACTCCAGCCAACACGTGCCCCTCTAGCTGAGGAGTCACAACCTTTCCAGAAAAAACGCATGTAAATCCTCTCAATGTCCATAATGATCCCCTTAGGGAGAATGAGCTGCCTGCTCCAGAAGTTAAAGATATTAAATATGACAGTTTTTACAAGCTGCAACCTTCCACCAAAACTAAGTTTCTTGTTGGATCATTAACTTAGTTTATCTTTGATTCTCTCCAATAGAGCATCACAATCCTTCCCCGTGAGTTTACGAGTAACTAGGGGCACCCTAAGATACCTAACTGGGAGCTGTGCCACTCTAAACCCAATAACTGACTGAATCAAATCTAGAGTATTCTCATTCAAGCCACAAGCATAAAGTTCAGTCTTCAGAGCATTCAACTTAAGACCAGATAATTCATAAAATTTCTCTAAGGTGCTCTACACACCTAACACAGATTCAAGGGAGCCATGACAGAAAACTAATAAGTCATCCACAAAACAAAGATGATTGAGGGGAACTCTTTTACATTTTGGATAAAATCTGAAAATTCCTTGTTTTGCAACAACATTCAACAGAGAGGACAAAACATTCATCACAATGACAAAGAGGTAAGGTGATAAAGGATCACCTTGCCCCCTTAAAATACCCCACCAAGCTTCCATTCAAATAGACATAATACATAGTGGTAGCAATACAAGCCTTGATCCAATTGTAGAACACATAAGGCAACCCCATTGCCTCAAGAACAGTCAGCAAGAAGGTTCGATTAACAGAATCAAAAGCCTTCTGCAAGTCTATTTTGACTGCACATCTAGGAGAAAGACTCTTCCTAGAGTATCATTTCATTACCTTCTGAGCTAACAGAGTATTATCTACTATATTCCTACATTTGACAAAAACTAACTGGTTATGGGAAACCATACCAGGGAAGTAAGGAATAAGCCTATTAACAAGTATTATAGTGATGGTTTTGTATACCACTGAACAACAAGATATATGTATAAATTCCTTAGCCAAGCATGCATTTAAGGACTTAGGAACCAAAACTAAGGCAGTTGTATTAAAAGCATGCAATAAACAAGATGTTTGGAAGAAGTACCTCACAGCAGAAATAAAATCACTACCAACAATGTCCCAGGCAGCTTTGAAGAAACCAGAAGTGAACCCATCAGGGCTTGGGCTTTTGTCCTTCCCCTGTCTAAAAAGGGCCTCTTTGATCTCTACATCACTCACCTCCTTAGTAAGAAATGTAGTAGCTCCTTCAGGCAAAGAGTAGTTCAACAGATCTTTCAGACTTTCAACTGAGCAACCTTTAACTAATTGATCAGGAGAGCCAATGAGATTAATGAAGTAACCCACTAACTCATCAACCATTCCTTCAAAAGAGTCACACCTCTGCCCATCATCACCTTTAATAACTCTTATGGTGTTCCTTTTCTTGTTAGATTGGACCCTATGGTGGAAGAACTTGGTATTCAAGTCTCCCTCCCTAAGCCAATGAACTTTGGCTTTTTGTCTGTAAAAACCAGACTCAACAACCTCCAAGTCAACTAATTCAGCATGAATCATTATTTCTTCATCAATCCTCATCTGATTTGTATGGGCCAGATTAAAAATTTGTATTTGCTTCAATTTGATCCTTTTGTTTCTGACTCTACTAGAAATATCAGAGAAATACTCCAAGTTAAACTCCTTGAGAAGAGGCTTTAGCATTCTCATCTTGTTGAACAAGCGGCTCATGGAAGATCCACTACATTGACCCTGCCAAGAATTCCTGACAGTATCCAAAAACTTTACATGCCCAGTCTAGCAATTAAAAAACTTGAAAGGGTGAGGGTTATTGGTCATGACTCCCTTATGTGTCTGCAATAATCCAAGGCAGTGATCAGAAACTCCATGGGCTTTGAATTCCACAAAAGCTTCTGGAAAGTCCAGCAACTATTGATCATTAACTAAAATCCTATCCAATTTTTGGGCTAAGTAGAAACCCTCTTGTTTGTTGGACCAAGTGAATATAGGCCCAAGAAATAAGTGGTCCATAAGGTCAAGCCCCTCCAAACAATCTTGAAAATCCTTCATATCAGAGGTGCAATGGACACCCATGACATCAAAATCAGAACTCTCCTCAGCTTTGGCAATGATGTTAAAGTCACCCCCAATCAACCAAGAGGAGGAACCAATTTTATTCTCAACAATATTTAAATGGTCCCAAAGAGCCCTTCTAGCAACACCATTGTTACTGCCATAGACAAAAGTAATAGCTGTCTTATGACCATCAACCATCAACAGTCCCAATGATGAAAATAGTTTGGTCACAACATCTCAGAACAGAGAACAACATGTGCTTCCTCCAAACAATCCACAATCTACCCCCTTCAGCAAAATTATAATTCTCAACAAAATTCCATTCACCAGATAGTGCAGAAGTGAAATTAGAAAAATTATCCATTCTAATGCGTGATTCCATCAAACAAAAAACATCAACACTAGAAGACTCTAATATGCTTAACACCTTCAACTGTTTGAGAGGGTTGTTGACCCCCCTGACATTCCAGAAGCTGACAATCATTAAGATAAAGTATGCTGAGCAAAGCTGCCAGTGCCTAAATTAACCACAGTACTCCTGGCATTCTCAAGATGATCCTTCTTTTTTGCCTTTATCTCATTGAGAAGCACAACCACACCCATAGAAGCCACTCGAGCCTTCCTAGGACCATCTTCCACAACCTCCATTTTGCTTGAGGAGCCAGGGATTTCCTTTTTCCTCCCCTTTGTCTTCTTCTTAAGAGAGTCCTGAAGAGAAGAAAAATCCCCAGAATGAACAACTCCCTGCAAATGTTGGTTTTTATCATTACTTTCATCAACATGATACTTCCCACACTCATAGAAATCTGTCATCTTTTGTGTCCCCGAGGAAGACATATCACCATTACATACAACAATATTCTTCATGGCATCCTCCAAATTAGGCTCACAGACCTCCTGCAATGTCTGCACTGTTGTTTCCATAGCATTACCAACTTGTAGGTCCAGATTCATCACCAAATCCTTAGGATTGCTATCACTGCCAGAAAGAGAGTCTGAACTCATCACCTTAGAAGTGTTAGTAATCTCAGAAATCCCCATAACAGCAGTAGAAATTACTGGCTGAGTTTCATTGCTTACAGATTCTGTAGCACTACTGTTTTTTTCCAACAAACTTATACCTCTTTAAGTTTCTGAGGAGGCTGCCTAACCTCAGTACATGAATTAGCATGATGTCCAAATGATTTACACTTATAACAACATCTAGGAAGCCAAGGAACAAGCACTCTGACACTCACAGAGGATCCATCCTTTAAGATGATCTAAATAAACTCTGGAATAATAATTCCAGCTTCAATCTCCGCACAAACCTTTGCAAATTCAAGCCTCTGATTTGAAGTCGTTATAGAGTCCATGTATAAGGGGTTGCCTAATGCACCGACAATGTAACTAAGTCCCTTTTGAGAATAGAGCTCTAAAGGAACGCTATAAAGCTGCACCGAAATCGACATAAAGGATAGATCGAAACTAAGCTTCTGCATACCAGGTACCAATCCCTCAAGACTAATGGCTTGTTCTGGACATGCCAGGGTCCATTTTCTAGAACCCAGTCCCTCAAACCAACATCCAAGAATGAAAATATGTAGAGATTAGGGCCTGCGAGACTAACCTTAACTTGCGACGATTTTCCCCAAATTGTTTCAATAATTCGCTGCATAGATCCAAAGCTCGGACGGAGGTTTAACAATATCCACTCCATCCCGTAGCTTAGGGGGAAAGAAGTTGAGGGACTGATCTTTCGAACCCA